AAAAATAAAGCAGTACAATCTACAAAAAGAAAGCTCTACAATCTACAAAAAAATGACTAGATAAAATTACTAGAATCGGATACGTGTCATGCAAAACTAGTCAGACACCCCAATGTTGTGTAGACCTTTAACATTTTTCAAAGTATTGACTCTGTAAGATCAAATGATCTAAGTCTGAAATAACAAAAGATTAAGACCATCTGGTAGCAAAATATAAGAACTTCTACTTTAAGCTGGTAAAAAAAGGTTTGAAAAGTGAAGTCTTTTGAGTAAACAAAGCCAAAATACCTGGATCAACGTGTTAACACTCACTGAATTCCTGATTCCAAAGAATTTTTATCCATATAAACACTTTGTGTTTTTTTTGTGAAAAATAAATTGCTTTTTATTTCTCAGACAGAATGAATAGAAATTTTTTTTCTAGCGCTCTCAATATGAACATACAAATGTATGTATTCAGTTGTTTTTGTTTTCTTTCAAGTTTTTCTTAAAATTGTAAAAAGCTTTTTAGTAAACTCAATTTTGCATATTTTACACATAAAAGGATTTTTGGTTAACAGCCGGCCAGGCTTTGTTTTCAAATATCATAAAGTTTAAAAAGTATAGCTCAGCTATAAAAGATACCGAAAAAAAAAAGTTTTCTTGAATATCGAGATGAATATTAAACATCAAAAATACTTAAAATCTCTTTGATGCTAATGACAGAGATTGTAAAAAAATTTCTAATAAACTTTTAATTATATCGTTCTTAAAGTGAGACACTTGACACCCTGAAATGAGAAGACGACTGATAGATTCAAGTTATGATGTAAAATAGTCCAATAGACATAAAAAACAGCAGTTGTACAGATTTCATACTGCATACACCCTTTTCAATAAAAAATTAATTTTTTAGCTTTACCATGGTATAACTGTTTGATATATAACAATATCAAATGTACATAAGATTTCTAAAATGGCGTCTTCCTATTCATTAGTTTTATGGGGGTAACTGTTTATAAAGAAATTGTGAAGATATTATTTCATATTTCTAAACAACTTTGGTCCTCTGAAATTTAAATGTAAATCACTAAACGCTACTATATATATTCGGTCAGTGTACTGAAAATAACTGCAGAACACACCAAAATCTTAGCTGAGGGTGTTCTGAAGAAAAAATTTTAAATTTAAAATAATAGTTTAAGTGTAAAAGAAAACATTTTGAAGATGTAAGGTCTAGGGGTATTTTATGATTTCAATTCAACAATTATACTTGTACAAGTTAGTTCAATACTTGGTGCCCTATAAGCAAGAGGAACGAGAAATATCATTTATTTTAGGATTATATGTTCATTCAAACCTGAAAAATGTATTCAACTCGAAGTTATTTCATACAAGTTTGAAGTGTATTTCTGTTTTCATAAAAACTCAACTTAAAACTTTTAACAAGGTTTTCCCGGGTTTCTATATGAGTTCCCTAGCACGCCCCACCGGTGTACATTTGAATATCAGAGCTGGGACAACCTTTGCAGTCCTACTTTAAACTATAACGCCAATTTATAATTACCATATACAGTAAGAACCAACATACTTTGGAATAAGTTCCTAGTAAATCTGCTTTGTAACAAAATCAAATACTATTATTGTTGTCTTTTTATTCTATAGTTTATTGGTTCTCACTGTATAAAGTTCTAAAATTAAAATTCTGACCAGAATGTTAGGAATGTGTTTTCTCATTGTCAGGATTTCTTCCAATAGTTGTTTTGTAGATTCGAGGATTTAATATCAAAGAAACGATTTCTTATATTTTTTTATTTGAGCATACAACTAGGGTTTTTCTTCATACACGTTTTTTAAATACATATCGATGCTAAAAAACAAAAACAAATACAAACTAAGTGTGTTGATTTTAATTTAAACGTTCCTTTACGTCAAACTAAACTGAACTGCATATTATGATTTCAATAATAACTATTTTAATTAAAGCTGCTGAAAAGAACTAAAATGTTTAGAATTTCTGTAAAGGAATTGAGTCTTTGCAACAAACTCTGATTTTCAATTAGATGTTTCAAACTATGAACCATGTTAGATTAAATATTTAAAGTTTGAAATATCAAACGTTTTCATTATCAGGTTGCAAGGATATAGGGATACAAAAACTTACGTTTTTGGCAAAGACTCAAAGTTAAGTCATTGCCACAAACTAAAATTTAAAAATACCAATATCTTTGAAACTTGATGGTGTAAACCTTTTATATTTTTAAACTTTAACTATTTTATCTGACAGAATTCATATTTGAAATATCAATTTGGTCTACGAAATTGGATTAGAAAATTAGAGTTTGTTACAAAGACTAAATTTCTTTGTTCTCTTCAAGTGTGTTTTCTTAATTTTGTGTATTTCATTCCTTTCAGAGAACTCCTCGGATAAAAAATTGTTCCTAGGAAAAAATTTAAGTTTTATAATGCTCCTTTAGTTTCACTTATTTTACAAAGAAAAGTGGCAAAGATATGGAATTAGTTATGATAAAGAAGGGGGCAAAGGGGTTATTATTCGCTTTATTTTAATTATTAGATAACGGGATGAAAAATGTTTTANGGGGGGGGGGGCTGACTTAAATTTATTTTGATGTTATACATCAGACATTCTACAACACTTGAGTTAACATCTTTTAATTAAATTAAACGAGTCATATATTAATCGCATTCAAAGGTTGTGAGAACATCAAAGTTACAATAAATATAACAATTAATACAAACAAATAATTGATGTCGTCGTCTTCTTGACACTTATTGTTTTTAGGTATCAGTCAAAATAGACAGAAATTACTCGATTATATTTTTATATTTCCATTTAAAGGAATTTGGAATATTTCATTAATTTCAAAACTGGACAATCAAATTACAATTAAATTATTCAAGAAAGGTCATCACATCACATGGGAGTACAACATTATAAATATAGATTCTGTTTTAAAATACTTTTTANGGGGGAGGGACAACAAAATTTAGTCACCGCAAATTTGCAAATTTTTTGGCCGATTTCAAATATATAGTCTTGTAGAGCATCCTAAAAAAAAGAGTTAACTGATTATTTTTTTTACACATACATGAGCGAAATATAGTACATTCTACACAAACAAATTTAGTACTTGACAAAAAACTTGAATTTTTGACAATAATGAAACATCTATTTCGCGTTGTTCTTAAATTTTCTCGTATTTAAATATGCAATCTAGATGAAAAGTGTTTCATTCAGTAATTTAGTCATATTTAAAATAATGTTCACGAAAAATGAAAGGGTGGTTGGGCTGAATCCTAATAAAATTCGGATTTGATTGCTACTAACTTTACGTCTGTAAGGAAAAAAATTGTTGAAAATAGTCCGCATAAGAATCCGCCTAACCCTTCCATTGATCGCGAACACTCCCTTAGACTCTTTGAACGGCAATAAAAAAGCAGTTAAGCAGATTTCTTTTGGTGTTTGTGATTATTTTTAAGCAATAATTGTTCGTTTTTTGTTAATATAATAAAATACTTTTTAAACAATTTTTCACTTCTAAAACTTTTCAGCCTTAGGGTTTGCTCAAGAAATACAAGGTATATGTAAATATTTAATCTCAAAACATTGATGATTTCATACTTTTCCTGGAAATTAATATTCTTTTATTTAGATTACACTTCTGGGAGTTATTATTCATAAATTGTGATAAAATGTTTAATGACATGGTTCCAGGTTTAGGGTTAGCAACTTTAAATACATTCATATTTATCATACTTATGCTTAATAATTGTTGGTTTTAAATAAAAAAACTGTTCCATTCTTATAGTTGAATGCTAAAATTTGATTGTTGATAGCTTTGTTAAAACTGTAAACTGAGAACATATTAAAAATGAGCAGTTTCGCAATAAAAATATATATTTCTTTCTCTTTGGTTAACAAAATGAATGATTAAAAAAATATTGTGGTTTTTATTTTATTTAAAAAAATAATTTATGAGATTTTGATATCTTAAACTGTTTTTCTAAATTCAAATTTGATACAACTATTAAAATTATTGCTTAAACTAAAGATTAATAATATTTTTCTTTTATTTCTCAAAACTTATCTTCTACATCTTTTTACGTTTTGATAAAATTAGGTTTTTTCCCTGATTTAATAAGACAACCTAAGCTGAAACTTGACAATGTTGGATATTGAGATCAATGCTTGATCTTCTCTTTTGATTTATCTTCAGATTGATTTAGTGTTCAGATTACTTTCTAGAGACGAGGGATGCACTCTTTAACTTTTGAAATACCGGTTTAAATTGTTCTGCAATGGTGGTGTCATATCAATTGTTCTAATGATTGGGTGAACGAACGTTTGTTTGGATGAATGTTTATTCAAAAGAACTAAAGTATTTTTGAAAAAAATATTTCTTTAATTAAACTAATTTTTCAATTCTTTATAAATTACCGTCTATCAATTATAAAGTATTCTAGACATAACATTTTTTTTGTGAGTAAAGGTTGATTAAGCGAACATTTCTGGGACGATCGCTGCGGCTAAGATAGATGAATTCTATTTTGTTTAAATATTCAAAAAGCCGGTTTGTGAACAGCTGACTTTATTACAATTGAGCTTTTGTGAAATCAGATATTAGTCCAATCAATATAACACTTTATCTGTATTTGTAATCAAACGTAACTATGGGATATCCCAAAAGAGTGGATTAAACAGAGAATTAAAAGTGTCCACATGGGATGTTCAGATTAAAGGTGTCCAATTCTAAAGTTCCCAGCTCTGTACGGGTTAGGTGAGTCCACATTTATTTTCTTGTTTTCTAAGTTAAATTAACTAAATTATTAGATCACTGTAATTTTACATAAAAGATAAAGTTCTATTTTATTCCATTCTATTTTAAGTATAGAAAATAGAATTAAACAATATTTCAATAAGCCTATGTTTTCAGAAAATTTATAAATATTGAATTTTATAATTTTGAATAAAATATATAATTTATGCCTGAAATAAGGAATATATTATATCTACAGTGATATGTTTTCTTTGAAAAAAAACTTTTGTATTTACACATAACAATTTATTAATATATCTTTTTACTAATGATGAATTGATATTATATTTACAAGATGCAGGGATCAAATTTAATTAATTAAATAGCTCGTTGAACCGGTTCAAAACATAAATCCTTAATTTAAAGTTAAAGATTCATGAGGATTTAAATCTAAAATTCAGGACTTGAACCGCCTGTATGGTAGTTCAGCGACCTCTCTATGCAGTTCTTTGTTAGAAAAAACTCTAATATTTTGACCAAAGTATTGATCTTACAAAAACTATTTTACAAATTAGGAAGATTTTGTTCGAAGATATGTCCAAAATCTTAGAGAATTTAAAACTTGTGAGATGTCCCTTGCTCGAAAATGATCAAAATTTCGAGGCGGTATCAAAGCATATTTTTTTGCACCATTAAGGCATGATGCAATTTTTTTTTTTTATCTCCATAATTTTTATTTTCGATTTTATGTTAAGATACTTAGAGGGGTTACTTTAAGTGTTTTTCAGAAAATTTAACACAATTATTTCTTCGAGGTCCATTTTGATCTTCGAATTTTGGTACTCAATGCTTGACAATAAATGTTTTTAATACTTTGGAGATTTAAAGCTCTCATCACATGTCTTTCTTTCAATATTTTGACACAGTTTTGTTTCCTTGAGTAGTTTTAACATTGATTAGCTCGCTCATAATATCTGATGTTGTGCCGCTTCGAAAATATTTTAGGTGCCCTGTAAAGGTAAATATCTTAATTTTAATTAAGTCTTGAAACTTTACTTTAGTCCGGCATTAATTGTGTAGGCTTTTTCACCTTGCTTGAGTTGTAAATATTCTAGGTTATAAACCGATTCTTTGACTCTCCTGAGCATGGCTGGGACCACCAGACACTGGGTAGATTAGACTGGCTGGTACAAGCAATGCATAAAATGTACGATTACACTTGACCTGTAAATTGTTGTACCTCGCGAGTCCTAGAATCTCATATTTAAGCCCTGGTATTTCTTATCTGAGCTATTGAATATTTTGGTTGGAATTTCTGAAATTTCTAATCTGAATCCCTGGAATTTCTAGTCCGGCCATTCATTTTGTTCATACAAAACGCACTGGGTCTGTGTTCAGTAATTTCTAATCTGAACCCTGGAATTCCTATTTTAAGCACAGAATCCCCAATCTGAGCCCTGGAATCCCTAATCTGAGCCCTGGAATCCCTAATCTGCGACCTGGAATCCCTTATCTGATCTCTGTAATCCCTAATCTAAGCCCTGGAATCCTTAATCTGAGCCCTGGAATGCTCCTTGTTTCCTTGTGATAATAACAGTAAGGTAGAGGGTCCAGTAGATAGAGTTGAATAAAACGAAGAGAAGAGGAAAAAGAAGGAATGCTCCGCGATCCAAAGTGTTTTTAAATTTCGTTAATCTCTCCTGAAAGTAGAATATTTCTTTAACTTGTTAAATATAAACGGATTTTAGTTTATTTAACTATCAGACAATAAAATCGAAATTCAACTGAACAAATGTAAATGTAAATTGGCATCTTTCTTGAACTAAACCTATATTCTGGAAATCTACGAATCAACGATATATTACAATTTGTTAAAACAAAATAATTAACTGGATTACTAACACGGCTGAGAAAATTTTTCAAAATGATGTTTTAATGATTTGGAAAAGAAAGATTTGCAACTGCAAGACCACAGGAAAAAAGTTTCGTTCAGTCATTTCTGAAGTCTTATCCTTTGTGGGAAACCAGGTAAATGTGAGAAATGTAAAATTAAATATTTTTAAACGTTGATATATTTGCCACCTAATTTTTTGCTCAAATATAGTAAACCATCCTATTTTTAAAAGTGCATATGCATTATGCAGTGTGTATCAAACTATCCAATATAAAAATATTTTTGAAAATGAAGTCCCAAGTGGCAGTTTCAAAAAGTTTCCATAAAATGGTCTGTCCTAAATTAAACTCTGTTCTGTAAGCTAAAATGTTAGTTAACATTGCAACCTTTCAGAACCATTAAATTCGGATAAATAATATTTAGAAGCAATTTTAAACATCTTGTTAGTTTTTTATGTGATATGATAACAATAAACTCAAACAATGAATATTAATTTGACGTTTTATTTTATTAACATATATTTTCTAAAAATTCTAAAATTCTCACCTCATCACTCCTAATTCTCTTTGGAGCTTTCTTGATAAGAGAGTTAGTGCGACGCTTTTTTTTCCTGCTTGTCGTCTTCTTTTTCCGCTCAAACTGAACAAGATTCTATTTCTTCTTCAAGGAAGGACAAAGCGTTTAAATTAAAAAGGTTGGTTAAAATCTGGTACCATGAGGTACTAAGGGGTACAGGAGGTATTCAGGGTTACTAGGGATACTAGGAGGTACTATGAAGTATACTATGGGGTAATAGGGGGTTGATTTTAAAGTTAAAAAATTGAACTGTTTAGATAAAATAAAAAGAATCGCAAATTAATAATTTAAAATCGATCCTTTAATTAATGTCACATTATCTTTTATACTTGAATTATCACTTTTAGTGAGACACATTTCCTGTATTTCTTCAAGCAAACCTTGACATTTTATTAGAAAGAAAAAAGAATTTTAAGTATGAAATGTAAAAAGAATTGGAACCCTACATTGAGAAGTTCATAAATAATTTATATTTTAAGATGAATCTTGAATTCTGATTTAGTCTGAGCAAAACAACAATGTTTTTCTTCAAAACCACATTCTTGGAATTCATCATGTATGGGGGCGGGGCGAGAGTGTAGGGTGGAGGGATGGAGAGGTTGGGCCAGAAAGGGGAGGGGGTGTAGGGCTGGATAGGGTGGACTCAAGAGTGGAGGAGGATGGAAGACTGAAGAGGGTGGGTCAGAAAGGAGAGGGGGGTGGAGGGCTTGGAGAACTGGATAGAGTGGGCCCGAGAAGGAAGGAGGGTGGAAGGCTGAAAAGGGTGGGCCAGAAAGGAGAGGGGGGTAGAGAACTGGATATGATGGGTAGAGAGTTAGGGAAAGAGGGTGATGAAGGAGAAAGGATATTTGAATGGTATTTTTATTAAGACCCCGGTCATAGCATTTTTTTTTGTTAAAAAAAGATGTTTTGTAAATTTTGTATATATATAATTATTGTTAATTGAATATTATTCAACATTGTTTCAAATCAAAATATATTTGGCTTGTCTAATGTCTTTTTTCTTTTCTTTGTTTCTTTGAAATCAATAAAAGTCAAAATTGTGTGGCAAATTTCAAGACCCCTTAAAAAGGTTTATGGCTGGTTAGAACAAAAAGTTTTGTAAAGAAATTATTCAAATACAGTTTTTTTTACAAAAAATCAGCAATATCTTGCAATGTTATTGTTATGTTTTATAATGAATGAAAATAATAATATTAATAAAAATATAACGCTTTACAACTAATAACCAGAAGCGTCTTAAACTCCTCATAGTTTTAAATGAAATTAATAGAATCCATTTAAACCCATAAATAAAAGATTATATTCTACAGTAAACTCATTAGTTTTGTGAACAAAGGTTTGACAATATTAAACCTGCCAGGAGGATGATAAAAGCTTTTAATTCTCTTGGTAATAAGATGCTAAACTTTTAAATTACATCTCCAAATTTAAAATCCAAGAATAGGCCAACAAAATGAAAACATAACAATTTAAAATCCAAGAATAGGCCAACAAAATTAAACCATGACAACTTCAAATCCAAGAATGGGCCAACAAAATGAAAACATAACAATTTTAAATCCAAGAATGGGCCAACAAAATTAAACCATTACAATTTCAAATCCATGGGATTTAAGGGAGGGGGGGGGGGAGAGTTAAATTGATCCACCCCAACGTATCCTGGTGTTCAAGAACCCCAGCAGGGAAAGGGTTCAAGCCTGCCTAATCGTTGAGCCGTCAGGGTCACAAGGACCTGCTCTGGCTCAACGGCAAGGTATAAGTAGGAAGCTTAAGCGCCATCTATTTTCAGGGCTGGTTGCTTTGGCAGGTGAGTTCAGCTCATTGGAAAGAAACAGACAGACAGACAAAATATATTTTTATATTTGTCCGTTTTTTCTTTGATCTAATGAAAGATAGGGATATATATATATATATATATATATACGTAAATATGTTTATTTAAACATTCATATTTACCAGTCCGTTGTCTATTTGATCTGATGATAGACAGGGATATAGATGTACATTTATATATTTATTTAAATATTCATATTTACCAGTCCGTTGTCTATTTGATCTAATGAAAGACAGGGATCTGTCTCTGTAGCAGCAGCAAAGTATCGGACAGGGGAACTCTGAAAATATTATAAATAGAATAAAGAAATAATATATAGCAGGGTTTGAGGGCGCTTCGCACCCATCTTTTATTCCAAAATTGAACATTTTCTCTTTGTATTCATTATAAAACAAAAACGAAAAAAGTTAGCGGATTTCATAAAAAAATTCATGGATTTTCGAAACTTTCAAAAATTTAAGAAAAATCTAATTTTGATGGTAGCAAATTTTTGAAAATTTGCTCATTGATTAACCTTCCTTGGGTCACGCGAGGTCCCCCAAAAAGTTTGGCCCGGAAATAATATATACTAAGTTTTTAGGGCGCTTCGTTCCCATCTTCTTTTTCAGTATTCAACATTTTCTCTTTGTGTACATTGTAAAACAAAACAAAACAAAAAAGTTTGTGGATTTTATAAAGCAATTTTATAAATTTTCAAAAATTTAATAAAAATCTAATTTTGATAGTAGCTAATTTTTGAAAATAACAAAAATAACAAATCTGTTAGATTTTAGCTCTTTAAAAAAATCGGTGTATTGTAAAGTCTACAGATTATTTAGCTGAATTATAGATAAAAAAGTCAAAGGTTTTTCGTAAAACACAATTCAGTCCAATACTCTTTGATGTGCGCTAGATTTTTTATAAAAACCGCCATTAATACATTAACTAAGGTAAATGACCATGAACACGTGTGTTTTAAGCCGTTTTCATACCTGTGAGAAACAGTTTGGAATCTGTTTATAACCTGTTTAAAATCTGCATTTTAGAACCTGTTTAGAACCTGTTTACTTCTAAGAATATGTTTGGAACTTGTTCAGAACCTGTTAATAATCTGTTTTGAATCGTCTAGAACCTGTTCATAAACTGTTTAGAACCTGTTCATAAACTGTTTAGAACCTGTTCAAAAACTGTTAAGAACATGTTCATAAACTGTTTAGAACCAGTTCTTAAACTCTTTAGAACCTGTTCATAAACTGTTTAGAACCTGTTAAGAACCTGTTTAGAACATGTTTACTTTTTAGAATCTGTTTAGAATCTGTTCATAAACTGTTTAGAACCTGTTTGAAACCTGTTAAGAATCTGTTTAGAACCTGTTTAGAACCTTTTTAAACCTGTTCAAAACATATTTGAACCTGGTTAGTGTTTAGAAACTGTTTAAATCTGTTTAGAACCTGTTTAGAACCTGTTTAGAACCTTGAAACAGGGTATGTTTAGAATCCTTTTTAGAAACTGTTTACAATCTGTTTAAAATCTGTATAGAATCTGTTTTAAACCTGTTAAAAACTTAAGAACTTGTTCACTGTTTAGAATTAGAACCTGTTTTCTTTTTCGAATCTTTTTATTGTTCGAAGAAAAGAAATATTGTTTATTCAATGTAATCTAGTATATGTATAGTGTATACTACTGAGGAGAATATATTTACAAATATTTATATTTTTACAGGTGTTGTTTTACTCTATTTCTTATTTACGTACTTTTTATACAATTCACCAATTTTACTGTTCGGAACAAAAATGATTAAAACAAGGTATTGAGCCTTACAGGGGACTGCAGATATTATTTCAAGTAACATTTTATTTAAAGAGTGGCATCTTAAAATTAAAAATGTTTTTTTTTTTGTGTAACATGTTTTAATTCTGACTAATTTTAGTATGTTTTCTGTTGCAGACATTCGCAAGTAAAATAAAGACACGATTAAAAACGAAAAAATTTTGAATGTTAAAACATGAAATCTCATTCATGCATGGCCAGTCAAAGGTTTAAAAAGTACCATTGTGAATCGAACATGTCTTTATAGAATCAGTTGGTCGCCTGAAATTACGCCTAGAGTCCCTTTAAACATTAAAGGGCTGATATTTTGTTTTCTAACTAGTCTTTAAACAAAATTAGCATAATACGCCGTCACTAAAATCTTATTTGACTGTTCTTGTAAAATTTAATAAAAAAGGGATATCAAGGGCACTAGCTGTTATTCATTTAGTATTAGTCTTTCTGGTAACTTTGTTTCTAGTAACCTTAAATCTAGCAATTATATCTGCATCCTTGAAGGAATTGTTTAATTTTTAATGGGGAGATTCCATTTGATACTTTAGAATGAAAATTAGTGCAAAAAATATTTTTATAGACCAATCAGAAATGACCATTACAGTTCTAAAGATTTTTAACATTGCATGCAATGGTCGAAAATCTACTTCTAAATTGTATAACATTATCGGGATAATGGTTTTTATAGAAATTAAAATTAAATCTGTTCTAATAGCATATAACAACTGCATTTTAAATATTAAGATGGATAGTATAATCTGTTTATACCTGAACTGATTCACTTTAACATTAATATCACAGACAACAGGGACAGGTTGGGAAGATTTAAAGATGAATATTTTAAATTTTGTGGAGAAAAATATGACATTAATAAATGATGAACCTAAGAAAAAGACCTTCTAAATAAAATATCTTTAAAGCAAAAAAACATGAAATATATTCTGTAATCGTAATTTCAAGTAACCCTTCATGCAAAGATAGCAATGCCCGATTCGCAACAGTACCTAAAAACCTTAATCAATGTTGTCGGACTTATTCTCACTAATCTATAAAAACCATAATCAATGTTGTCGGACTTATTCGCACTAATCTATAAAAACCTTATTTAATAATTGTGGGACTTATTCTCACTAATCTATAAAAACCTTAATCAATGTTGTCGGACTTATTCTCACTAATCTATAAAAAACGCTTTTATTTGTTGACCACTTTGTTCGCAAGCTGTTTTAAGTTTTAAAATATTAATATTCATTTTCTAAAATCGGCAGAAAATAAAAATTTTCTTTCGAATTTTTTAAATCGTTTTAAATGTAAGATATTCAGCAATGTGAAGTTACACAAGATGCATCAGAGCTGAAAACTTTAGAATGGTGGATATCGGGATTAATGCTTGATCCTCTCTTTTTGATAATCTCAAGATTATCATAATCTTGCAAGATTATCTTAAAAGTGTATGAAAAACGATAAAATTCAAATTAATATTTAATCATCTGAGAAACTGTAGCAGCCAATCAGAGAAAAGCGGGCAACCAATGAGAGAACAGAAATATTCTCATTGGAGAAAACAATTAACGGATATCCAAGGAGAGAGAAAAAGAGTGGATTAAGGACAAAAATGAAAAGTTTCCACAGTGGATATTCGGATCAAGAAGTCAGGATTAAAGTTTATCCATTCTAAAGTTCCCAGCTCTGCAGAATTGACGTCAATCTATAGACAACGTCCACCGAGGTTCAGAGGGAAGAAAGTGTTTTTCAGAAATTTAAACAAAAAGCTCTCTTTACTCGATAAAAAAGCAAAGATTTCAAGGGTACCGTTGTAAATCGGGAATTACCCTTTTGCATGGAGGGTTACTTGATATTACGCTTACAGTCTCTATCAGTGACGAATTTTGTAACGTTTAGATAAAGTATTCCTTTATGTTCTACACAAATCTTAACATAATTCTCAGAATTTTTGGGAGTGAAACAGATTTTAAATTGTATTTCCTATATTTTTATACTTTTACATTAATATTTATAGAGTAACAGCTCAAATATTAAAATATGAATATTTTATGGTAAATTTTCTAAATCAATAAATGATGTATGTAGGTGGAGAGTACTTCTGAATAAAATATATAAAACAAAAAATGTCTTCTTGTAGCATATTTTTTAAACATTAGATATCTAAATAAAATTGTGTTATGCTGTACATGAAGAAACCTTCTGAATAAAATATCTTAAAAGCAAAAAAATGTCAGGGTAAAAACATTTTTATTAAATTTTCTCATTTTTATCCAATTATGTTCCTAGTATAAGCATCTAAAGTTTCTAACTTCAGATTTGTTCAGATATATGATCTAAACATAATACAACATAAAAAATAGTTTGATCTGTAAACAACATTGAATATTTATTGAACTGTTGTCCTAATGTCAAATTCCTCTCTATCTCAAGAAAAATCACATTCTTGTTTCACATCTGGAACGTTAAGCCTTAATCTCTTTCTCTATTTAGAAAATTGAGATTTATGTGTATTTTTTTTAAGCCCTGGGTGGTCTCTTTTCAATCTACGGTGAATATTTCCTGACACCCATATATCCCAACTGAGCTGGGGTAAAATTTTCACTATCTCTTGGGGTTATACAGTGAAATTCTTAATAACGAATACATCGAAAGAATTCATCAAATGTCATATTCTTCACTTTTTGATAATGGAATGTTGCAGATATTTAGTTTTTTAATTAAATGATTATATGGAGCTCTTTAAAACTGTTCCCGCATATTCATTGCTAGTTATTTATTTTCTCAAATACTGAGATTTACTAAAATAGTATAAAACCCATTGAAAAATGTTCGAGACGACATTTGATAAATTCTTCCGATGTATTCGTTATTAAGGGTTTTACTGTATGTAAAATATCACCCCAGTGCTGAGTACACCTTTCAATATTTGCGCATTTTGAAAATTCTAAATCATTTAACGTGTTCAATGTTCATCTTTAAGAAGAAGAATTTTTTGTTGTAAAATAAAAGGAAACTGCACACAGATACAAAATTGAATATTTTTAATATACACGTAGCAATAAATCGCTATATTTTTCTTTACAAAAAATATGTCTAAGACATAAATGTATAAAAATAAAAATTATTTTGTAATTTAAAAAATTTGAAAATGGATTTTTAACTGCATTCATTAATGTAATTAGTTGAAAGAACGAAGATTTAAGAAGGGTTATTAATATCTTAAACTAATGGAGATAATAAACTAGTTTTATCTATGAAAGCAGCTCATCTTCTATCTTTCAATTCAAGTTTTAAACTTTTAAATGAAATTCTGGATTTTGAGCGTAAATATCTAAATATCGAGTGTCGATTGTCCATATAAAGAGATGAATCCATCCATCAAATATGAAATAAAAAAATCGCAAATATTTACCAACAAATTGCTTTTAATTAAAGAAAATTCAGTTATTTGGCAGGGCCATCCAACCTTTGCTGCCAAATATGCGATCTATGTGATTTCGTAATAATTAGAGTGCTGATTTCACAAGGTTATCATTGTTTTATTTTGAAAAGCGGTTTAAATTATCAATTATCAATTATCAATTATCATTTATCAATTATCAATTATCAATTTTAAAGGGAACCGTTGTGAAGCGGGCATATAATTGTAAGTAACTTGAAATTATATCGAAGATCCCTTCCCAGCAAATGGTGATTATTTAATTTGATTTAATTGGAGATCATCTCATTTTAAAGAGAACTTAATCATTAAAAATATTCAATAAAAAAATCATAGAAATACATTTCCACATTACATGATTCCTTTTGTTAAATTTTTTATTAAAACATCTATAGAAACCAAACACGTGATTTTTTAAGCTCGTTAAAGTTTCATGCTCTTATTCATAAATGTTAAATAAAATTAAAATGAACAATAAACAATTTGAAAACTTTTTTATTTGTTAAAATAATTAGTTCATAAACCACATTGGCTGCGAAGTTAGTACTGTATAGAATTGTTGTGCATGCATAATTATATCAAGTTATTATTATTTGTATATTATTGGGAATTCAATTCAGTCTTCACTGCATGTTACCCATGCAGGCTAAGATTTTTTAAAAAATGTAGAAAAATCATTTGATCTTATTTTCCTATTTTTGGCTTCAATTGCTACTTTAATAAACTTGCTTTTCATTAAGTAAGCTGAGTAAATTCAGTCTTTATATCGTTATAAACAACTGAACGGCAGGTTTTAAAAAGATTCAATTAACGAACGGCAAAAATCGTTCATTTTAATATCGTTAACGAAGAAATAGAACTGCAAATAATAAAAAAGGAACTGATTTGTTTTAAAATGACGACGATTTTCGTCCATTTTCTGATTGAAATCGAATTAAATTAAATTACTTGTTTTGATGTTTTAAATGTCGTCTCTCAATTTTCCCGTTACTTTTTAAACAAAACCATCTAAAGTGCCAGGGTTGCCTTGGGCATTTAAAAAAAAGATTCTGATATATAAAAATAAACAAGCAACTAAAATTTCAAATAATTTTGGAACCACATAAAATGCCTACTACATTACAGAAAAGCCCAGGAAACTCTGTATATAAAAATTGTTTTTTAATTAATCTTTTTTAGTCACCTTATTTGTAGATGGGGCATAGTTTATAGTTGTATAGCTTGAAGTCCCAGTTCCATTATAGTACGCATTCTCTCCATCCTTCTCTCTCTTTCTACATTTTTTAAGGATTTATCTTCAAGTTTTCATGTTCAAGAACAAAACTAATAATAATAATCATACGGATTAAACATAAGATGAAGCTTCAAGGACAACTCACAGACTTTATTTTGTCTTTTTTAGGGTATTTTTAAACTTAAACCTTTCTTTGCCAAATCAATTATAATAAAGCCAATTATAGATTATATCTTAGACACACTCCAAATCCAAGTATTGGAAATTTAGTTTTAAGATTTTCAGATCATCATTAATTTTCATATATATATATAGTATGAAATAATTAGGCTGATCATAGACTTCATTCTTTCTTAATGTTTAAAAAGCATTCTTTTGAAAATTGGTTTCATTATGTATAGTAAAACGTTTAAATAGTACTTCACACACCCCTCTATCTAGTTTCCATTTTCCAATATCCTGTTATTTTAATAAACATAAAGGACCTACACAACTGTTTCAAGCTCTGTTTTAATAATCCTAATATCTTTGATATTTAAAATTTTGACAAATTTGATTACTTAGGTTTCACATTTTGACAAATCAAAAAAGATCTATACACCTCAGGTTGCAAATATGAATGGTTTATGAAGACAGAGTTTGAAACTAGTGTTAAAGGGAGTGATCGGCACTGTATGGTGGTTGAACTGAGTATGCAGTGTTGTAGAAATTTTTTTTAGGATTCATTTGAGAGATGTGAAACATTTCCACGATGTATAATTACTTAGTTTAAGCGCAAAGTCGAACTTCAAAATCATGAATATGGGTGGGTTTTCGGAATTGTTTTTTTTAAATTATTAAATAACGACGACGAAAAATAAAGCAAATATTATACAGTAAACTAATTAGTTGTTTCCGAACATATTTCTTAAAATTAAGACAATTTGTCAATACATAAATGTAAGAATAAATAGTTTCGTTTCCATCATAATATTCAATTTTTCATTCTTTACTAATTTGTTCGCAGATTTCTACAAATTCTTTAAATGTCGTCTTTTCAAGAAAAGTTCTAAAACATCTACAGAAAATATTTGTGAAGAATGGGAGATTGTAGAAACTAATAATTGAATAAGATTACTTATTTCGATGATACGAGTTAATTTTTTTCTCAATCTGTTCCTTAACAACTTATTAGTTTACTTTATAATTTGAGTTACATGTTTCGTCGTTGTAAAAAAACGATTCTGAAAACGTACCCAACCAAATTCATGATTTTGAACGTCGGCTTTGCACTCAAACTCAGTAATTATACATCGGTGGAAACCTTTCATATTTCTCAAATAAATCCTAAAAAAATCTACAATACTGCATACTCAGTTCAACTACCATACACTGCCGGTCAGTCCCTTTAAGTTCCTTATAGCATACCTTCTGTAGAGTACTATTTGTCTGAATATATAGTATACCTTCTCTAGAGTACTATTTGTTTCTGATTATATAGTATACCTTCTGTAGAGTACTATTTGTCTGAGTATATAGAATACCTTCTGTAGAGTGCTATTAGTCTGATTATATAGTATACCTTCTGTAGAGTGCTATTTGTCTGATTATATAGTATACCTTCTGTAGAGTACTATTTGTCTGAGTATATAGTATACCTTCTGTAGAGTACTATTTGTCTGATTATATAGTATACCTTCTGTAGAGTACTATTTGTCTGAATATATAGTATACCTTCTGTAGAGTACTATTTGTCTGAGTATAACAGCATATTCTAACAAAGAGAGAAATACAAGTAGCATACAAGCCAATAACCAGACTTCAAGGGCAGTTACAGTGTTAGATACAGGGATCCGGGTCCTAGGATAAATATTGGGTTAGATATAGGGATCCAGGTCTTAGGGTCTGTCTGTCATGTCTGTCATGTCTGTCATGTCTGTCATGTCTGTCATGTCTGTCATGTCTGTCATGTCTGTCATGTCTGTCAAGTCTGTCAAATCTCGCATATCTGTAATATCTAACTTTTCTATCATGTCTATCATGAATACTCACGTAGTAGAGTTGAACATATTGATAAGGACTAGACAAAGTGTAACCAGTAGAACTATTCGAGCTGGTACAACATCCTAAACATTTATATCATTATAAATTATTATTATGAATAACATTATTATTAAAAAGACTTTCCATTGATATTGGGCACGTCCGATTCACATTGGTACCTTTGAAACTTTATCCTTGTTGTTTTACCATGACAAGTTTTAATTCTGAGAATTTGCTAGAAGAAAAGAGTCAATTTGCTTTGTATGAACAAGAGAATATGAAAGCTGTTTAGGTCCAGTACCGTTGTGAACAAGACATACCACTCTGAACTGGAGAGTCACTTGATCAGTTACGTCTACAGTTCCTTTAGATATTATTTGTAATAATACGATTTATGGAACGGATTCCCCTGTAGACAAATCTGTCTGATAAATGGTTGAATATCTGATTTATGGGCATACTTAAAGGGAGTGTTCGCGAAAAACGTTTTAACTGATTTCGAAAAATGTGAGTGGTCCGCGGCATTTATCTTAGATAGTTGCGCAAGCCGCAAGAGAAATAATCAAATATAAAACAAATTAATTAAACAATATTATAAAATATAAACTATATACAAATGTGGCGAAAGATAATCGATGACTATAGGTTGTAATATCTGAATGATTTGTTTGAAATTAAATTGATTTTTTACGGTCTAAGTCGTATGTTACAATTTTCTCAATTTGTATGGGCGCTAAGTTATTTGGTATGAGACGTCTTTAACAAGTTTCTACTTATAGATGCAACAGATATAAGTAAGATTATATAGCGATCAAAAGCGCTTTTTTATAGCATTAAGCCTATACCCCCTTTCATTTTTCGCGAACACTCTTTTTAAAAGTAGTAATCTCTATTTGTTTGTTTGTATGTCCGAGTATAAGATATGAACCCCTGAATCGATTTGCCTCAAATTCTAATTGGGGAACACGTGGTTGAAACACGTGAATTATTTTATTTGCTTGCATCTACACTTATTATTATTAAAGTATAGGCTCTTTGTCCAACTGACCTTTATATCCGATCATTCTCTTAAAAAATTAACTTTTTTGTGTTTACACATTTGCCAAGTAAAAACATAAATGTAATTGCGAAAAATCGAATCTTTTTATAAAATGTCATCACCTGATTTGAAAGAATTATAAATAATAGTTGAAAGTTTCTCTATTTCTTAAGTCTTTTCTTTTACAAAAATACTTTCAATCCATTTTTCATATTGTGAAAATCTTATTTTGTTTTCTTTTTTATTTGAAATAAAGTTGAAATTTGATGAAAGTTTATAAAATGTTGAGACTCTGGTTTATATAGAAGATAATCCAAGTTTTAATCTCCGAAAATCAGACTGAGTGAGTCGAAGTTCTAGTATCAAGAACTAATTTAATACACAACCTCTAAATTAAAACATAAATCTAGCAGATAGAGACTAAGAGAGAGAGGGAACTAAGAATGTTCACAAATTTTGCTCACTTTAATATTTAAAACATTCTTTATCCAACATTTTTTAATTTGCCGTGATCTGAATTCCCCCCCCCCATCCCTTCTCTCAATTTTCTCACTGCTTTTTAATTCCTATATCAATGAACAGTGGACATGTCAAATTGACAAATATGCAATACTTAAGCACTTTTCTAAAAAGATTAAATTTTTCAGCTGAAAATATGATATTACCCTGATTGATACTAGAGTACCGTTGTGAATTGGACATGCCAATTGTAAATGGTAGTTTACTTATTATGTCAATGATTTCTAGTTAGACCTAAAGACCTAAAAGACCTAAAACAAGTGCTTTATACTTCTAAAATGTAAGTGTCATAGGCTACACAAAAATTCTATATATAATTAAGTTTATGAGGTCAAATCAAAGACCAAGACTTTGGGACACTTTAAATTCGATCTAGTCTTGACAATTATTGTAACTTTTCATATCAGCCTGGACTTACAGAGGTACCCACTTCAGAGACGATTGTATGTAAGGAATTTGTATGGTCCGTCGTTTTTCTTCATTCAGGGTTCCTTATAGGCCAAAAATGGCTTATTTCTTTGCTTTATCATTTAGTAAACCATTAAAATACTCAATTGAATGCAGAAACCAAATCAAGCTTTAAATCGTCATATTTTTATAGTTTTTGGTCGTCTTTACTGTCTCATCCTTTAATTGTGGGTAACTCTGTATGTGACTTGTGTTTAATGTGTTGTGTAAACTATTTGATTATTGTAGTTTGTTCATATTTTGGTTAGTTTAAAAAAAATATTAACATATTTAGAGAAAATATAAAAAGAATAATATTTTAGCTCCAGGTGCCATAAAAATTTGTTTAAAAGGAAAGAAAAATGGTTGACATCTGCTGCAAACAAAAAATTTCATTTTTATTTTGTGCCGCATTGTCCAAATATGAAATTTCTTGAAAAATGAGATATTTTGTTTTATTAAACCTGGATGAAAGGTCTGTTTTACTATTCATGAATATATTTTCTACTAGTTGAAGGGCCCGGGGTTGCCCGTGGAAAAAATATATATATTTTAAAAAAAGAATTTAAAATTTGAAGAAGAAAAAATTTCTAATGTCACCCCAGGCTACCTATGAGTGTCCAAAAAAATGTCAGCTTATTCGGTCCAGCCGTTTGGGAACACATATACGAATGTCTTGTTTTATTATATAGAAAAACTTTAACAAAGGAAAGGAAAAGTGTGACCTACCATTTCAGAGTGTCCAATTTACAACGGTACATGTTTAACCATTGGCCAATTAATAATGAAAGAAATATCATTAGCTTTTTAGCTGAAAAATATTATTTTCAAGCACTCTATTTTCAGCAAGAAAAAAAGGATATCTCCTTCGTCGATAATCAGAGTGCCATTGTAGCCGAGACATTCCACTTTATGTATGAGTGAGAGTCAAGTACAGCTTTGTTAAGTTTCTCAAACTACAATATGTTTCAACAAAGATATAATTGGAGAATTACAAACTTGTTAAGATGTTTTTCTTTAAATCAACCAAAACGTAGAATTTCCGACATATATATATATATTATATATTGATTCAATTATTGATAAAAGGTTTTTAATTAGGACCAAATTAGGTTTGTTTGAGAGCCAAATATATGATAGTAATTTTATAAAACATGATTGTCTTAAAAATAATATTCTTTCGAAAATAGTTTTATTTCTAGAAATATAACACTCATTTTTAATTTTTAATTTCATTTTTCTTTTCTAGAAATTAATCAGTTTAACTTAAAAATTATAAATTTTATTTAATGAGACAATATTTGGCCTAACAATCTCATTTAAGCGTAATTTCAAGTGGCCTTCCATGCAAAGGTGAAAATTTTCCCTTTTCACAACGATACCCTTTAAATTAAAAAAAAAATGTTTTAAAAGTACGTCGGAAAAAGGCTCAAAAATACCTTTTTCTGCTTTTCACAAATAACACCCATTTTTTAAGTGCTTTTTAGACATATAGATTTTAGCCCTGTAGCTTGATAAAATATAAAAAAATAGTTATTAACAATTTCTGATTTTTTGAAACACCGACCCACCGTTTAACTGTCCTCCTGTTTTTTTTTTTAAATTTGTGAATAACAATGAAGTCGAAAAAGAAAAGAAGTTTTAGCGTTCTAATGTAAGCCGTTTTAAAGCTATTTAGAAAAAAAACAGGGAGCGTGGACCATGTTGGAAAATAATCTGCAAAAATGGCTTTGCAAGTTAGTGTAAAAGCCCAGTTTTAGACCTAAAGGGAGGGCTATGGGTATTTAGAAAATGTCGGAAAATTTCAACCGCCTCAGACAAATACTTTTTCAGTTATGTAAAAAAAACTACAGGGGGGGGGCAACTTTATCCCCCACAGGAATAGGGTTAACAGATCACTAATAGTAGTTAATTTATCCTAGTGTATCGTGTTTATGTCAGAGAAGATGCCTATTACCAGAATTGAGTGGGCGGCAGAGGGGTGGAAAAAAAGGAGGGGGGGGGGCATTTTTAAACATGTACTTTAGAATGTTAAGAAAAAGTTAATTAATTAGTTTACAGGAGAATAGAAGAACTAGAGTATCATCAATATTTTTTGATGATTTTTTTTACTAGTGACTTAAATGAACTTTTGAAATGCTAAATATCGTTTGCGTTCAAAGTTTTTAGACTTACAAGTCTGGGCAAAAACTCGTGTTTTAATTCCAATTCTAAAAAAATAATAATAAGCTGATCATCCTTAGCTGACACACATACAGTGAGAATAGGGAAACACTGGCATTCTAGTCATTCACTTTATGTGATTCCTGACTAGGGTTTCCAGCGAAAAGTGAAAATCATTTCGCGAAACATTTTGTACTTTTCGCATTGCCGAAATTTTTGCATTTTTCGCATTTTGTTTACTCGCGAAAATTTTGCGGTAAACACGAAAGATTCTCAAAAAAATGTGAAAATTTTTGGGGTAAAAACACGAAAAAGTTTGGAAAAAAATACGGAAGTGAAAATAATTGATTAAGATATAATAAAACTTCTAATGCTGAGCTCTCAGAGCAGAGAATTCAACAAGTTTATTTGCACAATTAATCGTTGCAGCTATGGTTTTCGCGGAATTTTATTTTTCGCGAAATTTTGTTTTCACGAATTACGAACGAAAATAATTTTTGCGAAATTTCGTGAAAAAGTTTTCAAAATACGAACGAAAATTCTCACATTTTTTTACACTTTTTCGCGATAGTTTTCGTTCGCTGGCAACCCTTTTCTTGACTTATCACAATTCCAAATTATAAAATCCTAAATTTTTAATTAAAAGAAATAACAAAAGACGGCAATCATGCGACAGCTTTCTGGTCCTTTACATAGATTTCTCTTGTTTTATTATATTAGAATGGGAGAAAGGGTATGGATGTTTGACTGTATATTGAAGAAAAGGTGCTCTCATTAATTGAACAGGGTTAGAGAAGGGGAATTAGATGTCAGAAAAGGATCAAAGTGACATGAAAGGTAGGAATTTTCCCAGAAAAAAAGCTTTAAAAGAACAAGAAGCATTATTAATTCCTTTTTTTGTTTATACACAATATAGAATATAAATCAATACACCTTGATTCTTTCTAACACATAGAATATATTGTTTTATTTTCTTTATAGCTTGTGATTACATTGTTGTAGTATAGGGTACTATTTATTATGGTAATAATACAAGCATGTATATATTGTTACTGTATAAATTACATTTGGTCATTTCTTAGAATAAGCTACAGAAGAAAAAAATCCAACGTGAAAAGCACCCTCTTAGTATAAATATATAGGTTTTTAACCTGTTTTTAGTATAAATATATAGGTCTGTTTTTGCTGAACCAATAATGCGAAAAAGTGTTAGTAAAAACCTAAATAAACAGTAAAAAATATAATAATATTTAGACTGGTCGGGCGCAATGCTTTTAACTGTTGTTTTTCAAGCCGTCATTTTAATCATAACTCAAGAAACCATAATAAAAACCGGATTTTTCTGTTTGAATTGGTGGATTTTCTAAATTCGTAAATGTTAATTTCTATTTTAACCTTCCCTTGGGTCATATTAACTACAAACTAATGTTTGAATGACAAAGGTACCCCTATACCTTTACTTTATTGAGCAAGCCTTGTGTTTCTTTTTTTAATATAATGATTATTAATTCCAGTTTTTTTATCAATGTTTTCTTACCTTTTTCAATTTTCCTAAAATTCTATGTTTCATATCAATCTTTACAAATTTAAAAAAAATCTAAGAATGTTAATTAATAATGCATTGAATTTCTGTATACAAATTTTATACTGGAATATTTGGTTACTTGTTTGAATGCAGACTTTGTGACAAAAAATGCATTACTTTGAAGATTGTAAAGAAATCGAGATATAAAAAATCATACAGGAAATATCAAAAATAAAAAAACTTGATTTTATATTGAAATTTTCTTGCTGGGAGACTGTCGACTGAATATAAATATATGTGAGTTTTATTTAGAAATATCCCTAAAATTAAGTGATAAATTCTGTCAAGTTCCTTCCATATCCCGTTGAGAGAGAAGCTGCAATTGAAAATAATAAACTTTCAGATAAAATTTTAAAGATAATCGATATTGTAATTTACGTAGTTTTTAACTTTTTAAATTATTTTTAAAAACGTCATGAAAATAATGAATTTTATTCACTAAGTTAAAACTGTTGATTCAGTGATTTTAGAATAATTGTAATTGGTACGATAACGGATATAAAACTGCTTAGTTGGAATTATTGGGGATAGATATTGATATTCAAATCTTCGCCAACAAATTTAATTTTTTTAAGGATTTTAAAAGCGCTAACTGTTTGTTGACGACCTAAATTTCTATAGAATTAAATTGCGCGGAATCGAAAATTGAGTTTTAGCCAGTTAATTAGACCTAGAATTTAGGCAGCAGTAATAATTTAAAAGGGAAACTTTAAAGGGCCAACCACTGAAATAAGTCTGGTTCATTTCAAGAACCGGTTTGTCTTTTTTTAATTAAAAATATGTTTTAAATTTCTTGTATTTCTATACTTATATAATAAAAAAAGACATTCACATATATGATGTCTATAGTGGCCAAACGGCTGGACCGAATGGGCTGACATTTTTAGTGGACACTCATGAGTGGCTTTTGGGTGTTTTTTAACATTTAAAAAAAAAAATATTTACAAAAAATATTTATTTCGAATTGTTTTTTTCCAGGGCAACGCTAGGCTCTTAAACTAGTTAGAAATATTTAATAATTAAATCACAGCATCCCTAGCAAAAGAAAGAAAGATTTTAATGTTGGGTAATCCAGTATAGTTTATAGAATCTCGTTAATCGAATAAGAAATGTCAAATTACTGTGTTTTACATTCCAAAGAAGATTGAAACTCATGATTAAATGTTGTCCCAGTCCCACTTTTTTAAAAAGATTTTATTTGTTTTTCAAACATAAACTGTAGATGTAATGTCATGTAACTGCGCCGTTTTAGAGTGGCATGCCTTATTTAAGTCGAGTGACTTAAAGGGAGTGTTCGCGAAAAATGAAAATCAATTTAATTTCAAACAAATCATTCAGATATTACAATATTTTATATTATTTTTTAACTACTTTGTTTTGAATTTGATTATTTCTGTCGTCGCTTGTGCAACTATCTAAGAATGCCGCGCACCACTCACATTTTTCAAAATCCGTTAAAAAAGTTTTTAAAAAAAATAAATGATAAAAAAATTAATTAAAAAATATTATAAAATGTAAACGATATACAAATGTGGCCAAAGATAATCGATGACTAGAGGTTGTAATATCTGAATGATTTGTTTGAAATTAAATTGATTTTTTTACGGTATAAGTCGTATGTTGCAATTTTCTCAATTTGTATGGGCGCTACGTTCTTCGGTATGAGACGTCTTTAACAATTTTCTACTTAAAGACGCAATAGATAGAAGTAAGATTAGTAGCGATCAAAAGCGCTTTTTTATCGCATTAAATCTATACCCCCTTTCATTTTTCGGAACACTTCCTTTAAATTGAAATTTGTGGAAGGAACGAATATAATAATTTCAAGTTTTTTATCTATCTGTTATATCAACTTTAACGATCGTAAGCTAACGTAGAGATACAAAATAAATTAATGGAATTATCAAAAGTTTTACCATAATGACGACAGGAATTGCCTTGAAATATATTTGGTTTTCCTACGCTAAATTATTTTAATAAACCATCACATGTTCAAGAAGTAAAAATGTTCTTTTAGAAATATTTACTTTTACAGTGTCAAAACTGATTCATTATTTATTTTTGAATCGTATTCGCCTTTGGGCTAATTATGCCCCATTAGAGGGACTAAATTTCCAGTTACTCTCTGTTAAATGACAATAATGATTTACAAGGCGTTATATTTGTAAAAAAAAGCTTTAAAAAATTTGAATTTTTCTTATTTTCTCTGCAGCATATGATTGAAAATAAAATTCTATAAAGATAACTAAGATTTCCAAAAACTGAATCTATAAATATACAGTGTACAGTCTCTTTAATCAATGGACCGAGGAATAACAAGTAGAATTTGTTTTATGAATATTTGATGGAAATATCATACTTTTTATCCTGTTCAACTTGATTTAATGTTTATTTGAAAATAAATTTCATACAATGCTTCGGGCTGAATTGAGAACTAGAAAAATAAATAAAACTTTAAACAGTTAAACCCTCCTAGCGATAAATAAGTTGTTGAGCTGAAAGCATGTTTTATAGAAACGAAAAATAGAATTTTTTTTTTTTGAGACCAATCATGTGTTTATTACCATGGTGAATACAAACGTTAAAGGAAATAAGTCTATGTCACCAGTTCAATTTTTAAAAATTCCTATATCTTACATGATTAAATTTTTTGATCCAAAAACATTCTTGGTTTGAAATGTCATAAGTCTACAATATTGTGTTGCAAAGATATTGAGATTATAAAACAAGAGTTTGTGACAAAGACTCAATTCCTTTATTTTTATCATTTCATATTATTTATTTACTAAAGCAAAAATGTAAAAATCTAAATTTAAACGGCGTGTAGACCAGATCAAAAGGATGAAGCCCTTTTCGCAACGTTATAAAGATGAATAAGATACCTTGCTTTCTAACCTTTGTCCTAAAAAAGTGACTTGTATACAACAGAGTAAAGAATTAAAACAATTTTACAGATAGATAAGTGACGATATATTTGTCGTTGTGGCTCAAATGAAAATTTAAAAGGTATTTCATGTAAATTGGGATAAATCAACCAAGAAATACTTTACTGGTAGGATGAATGCAATCAAGAATACTATACTGGTAGGATGAATACAATCAAGAATACTATACTAGTAGGATGAATACAATCAAGATTACTATACTAGTAGGATGAATACAATCAAGAATACTATACTAGTAGGATGAATGCAACCAAGAATACTATACTGGTAGGATGAATACAATCAAGAATATTATACTGGTAGGATGAATACAATCAAGAATACTATACTGGTAGGATGAATACAATCAAGAATTAATACTATACTGGTAGGATGAATACAAACAAGAATACTATACTATTAGGATGAATACAATCAAGAATACTATACTGGTAGGATAAATACAATCAAGAATACTATACTGGTAGAATGAATACAATCAAGAATACTATACTGGTAGGATGAATACAATCAAGAATACTATACTAGTAGGATGAATACAATCAAGAATACTATACTGGTAGAATGAATACAATCAAGAATACTATACTGGTAGGATGAATACAATCAAGAATACTATACTGGTAGGATGAATACAATCAAGAATACTGTACTGGTAGGATTAATACAATCAAGAATACTATACTGGTAGGATGAATACAATCAAGAATACTACACTGGTAGGATGAATACAATCAAGAGTACTATACCGTTAGGATGAATACAATCAAGAATACTATACCGTTAGGATGAATTAAATCAAGAATACAATACCGGTGGGATTAGTTAAATCAAGAATAAAATACCGCTGGAATTAATTAAATCAGGAATACAATACCGGTGGGATGAATTAAATTAAGAATACAATACCGGTGGGATGAATTAAATCAAGAATACTATACTGGTAGGATAAATACAATCAAGAATACTATACTGGTAGGATGAATACAAACAAGAATACTATACTGGTAGGATGAATTAAATCAAGAATACTATACTGGTAGGATGAATCCAATCAAGAATACTATACGGGTAGGATGAATTAAATCAAGAATATGATACCGTTAGGATGAATTAAATCAAGAATACAATACCGGTGGGATGAAGAATGAGACCCAACTCATCATCACGAACATAGCTGAAGGAAGATAAACGGAGAGAATAAAAGGACCAAGAGATCTGGAGAGGTTGATTTCAAACCCGTACATCGAGTAGTTGCCTGAAATATTATTGAGTAGTTGCATGAAATATTATCGAGTAGTTGTCTGGCTCACCCCACCCCCCTTCTTTCGTCTTAAAAAGAGTGAAAGTTTTATACAATGATACAATACAATAAGACTGATACAATACAGTAATCTGTATATAATCTAGTTACTAACACTTATTTACTTTCATGATTAAAGATAAAAAAGATTTCACAAGTTTGACCAAATAATAACTTTTTACATTTATATAAGTATAGTTAGGTAAAACTAAACGAAAGTCGTCATTATTAAAGCAGCTGTACGCGAAATTTCAAGTGGCATTGTCATTTCATGCTAAGATCACAATTCTCGATTCACAACGGTACCTCTAAAACATAATTTGATCAAGTTTGAATTAAATATAAATGTTTAAAAGTTGAAACTGATTATTTTCAGTTTTGGTTTCTCTTCAGAAGTAACAACTTTCTATACAGGAAGAAAACATAAAGAAATTATCATAACTTAACACCATAGATAAATAAATAAACATAGATAGCTTATGTACGCAAAATCACCAAGAATTGTACAGTCCGCGAACTATACTTCTAGGGGTCAAAGTGTACTTTAATGAGAAGCGGGGTGGTTTGGTGTTTTAATGGATTTCATGATAGTGTTTAAACTAACTCCGGGAATGGAACTATTTGAACAACAATATTTTATTGAGCAATATATCATATTGACGAGAACTGAAGAAGGACATGAGAAGGACTAAACTAACTTAAATTTCTCTCTACAGAACTCATGTATACACCACAAGTACTCAATGACATAAGAACAGCCAATGTTCACAACCGACCTAGTTTATCTATATAATAGGAATATCTTTTAAACATCTCTGTACATTTATATCTTTTAAGATGAAAAATGTCGTCTTATGCGCAATCTATCTTTATCTATGCTTAACACTATCAAATCAGTTAAATATTTCGAGGGTATCGTTGTGAATCTATCTTTTCGGAATTTGTGGTAACCTCCCCAGCATACTAACTACTACATTAAATTTCTATTGTTAATGAGCTATCATTTATAAATTAGGCAATAAATGCATATTTTATTATATATAAATATATCAGTTTTTAACTTTACATTTTATACAAAATCGTGTAACAATAATTCATTTTACTTTTCTAAAAATATACTTACTTGAAGCACCCGCGAACAAAGTTCTCTCTGGGGGTAAGTCCTAAAAAGAAAAATTATCTTTAAAAAATGTCAGCGAATTCTTTGAAGTTTTTTAAGAGCCTAAAAGTTTAATTTTTCATAACAATTGCAGAAACTGAAGATATTTTATAAATCATGTGTATTTTCATGGGATAACCAGCTTTTAACCCAGCTTTGCCAGGAGTTTTCCGTATAAAAGTTAACAAACTCAAATTATAATTTTCTCCCAATCGAAATATTTGACTCCAATGTTTTATTCATAACATATCCACAGAACTTCTAATCCTCAGGAGTTAATGATTATAGAGATAAGTTTCACTATTCTGTTTTTCTAATATTTCTCAATATTTTCAAAGACGACATTTATGCTCACCATAAGATCTACGTTGAAGGATAAAGCTCTTTGGTTTGTCTTGTCATAACTAAACTTCCCTCTCAATACCATCCGGGTATCATCATATCCAACTAAACATAATCCGGGTCTCATCATATCCAACTAAACATAATCCAGGTATCATCATAACCAACTAAACATAATCCAGGTATCATCATAACCAACTAAACATGATCCGGGTATCATCATATCCAACTAAACATAATCCGGGTATCATCATATCCAACTAAACATAATCCGGGTATCATCATATCCAACTAAACATAATCCAGGTATCATCATATCCAACTAAACATAATCCAGCTAAAACTAAAGAACGAAAAGTTTTGACTTAAATTTTAAGTTCATGGTTAAATGCCACTTCTGACTTAATTTAAACCTGAACTTTAACCGTGTGGTTAAATATTTAACTCGCCGAAATCGACGAGTTAAAATTTAAACACAGGCTTAAAACCTTGAAATCCCGCAATCCCTTTTTGTCTATCATCATTCAGCGGTAAGCGGCATTCAAATAATTACGATATATTTAAAAGTAAAAACCTCGATTTAATAAATTTCACGTTTTAGATTAATTAATGTTTGCACTTAAACCCAAAATACGGTTGTAACTGGAAATATGTTTTGTTAATAAATAATTTATTTATTTAAAAAACAGCTGATTACCGAATACCGATACTTACGTAATAATTCTCCGTAATCCTTTTTTCTGATTGGTTCAGATTTTTCCCGGGAAATTCAAATTTAAAATTAAGAAAGTTTAATGTTTAAGTAGCTATTCATTATTTTACAGAACTTTTAACCTCGAACTTAAAATTCGCGCATTCTTTAGTTTTAGACTCAGGTATCATCATATCCAACTAAACACAAATCAATAACCGAAAGAAAAAAAAATCTGGGAAATATCTCAAAAATTAACTTCAAGATCAAAATCGTGCCGACACATGTTGTAACATACATTCCTGAACAAATGATAGTAAAATATATAAATCCATAAATGATATTTGATATGATTATGATTGTTTTAACTTATTATTTTTTTCTTTTAAAGCTCACGTTGACGTACAGTATACACTTTGTAATATAATATAATGCATCTTGTCCAATAAAAAAGTCCAAAAAAGCTGAATCATTCTTTATGAAAATGAGAAACATAAACTGGAAATAGGAAGAATTTGTTCAACATATTTTTACTTATGAGTTACGACTCTGTAATACCATGCTTAAAAGCATTGTTAAACTTTTTGGAAATTAACAATAAGGGGGGGGGGTCATTGGAAAGCTCTTATGCTCTACTTTTAGAATCGGAAAAAAATGCAAAATCCAGTTATATATTAAAAATGTTTGCAAAAAAAGGAATAAATGTAAATTTTTTAAGAGCCCTTGACCATGCCATTTTAAATATGCAAAAAGTTTGCATTTTAAATAACCTGATGTGTACAGGAAAAAGTAGCATTTATGGCTGTCCAAATTATAACATGAACTTACAACTACTGAGGAAAAAGTATAAATTATGACTGTCCAATTAAATTATAACATGAACTTACAACTGCTGAGGAAAAAGTAGCATTTATGGCTGTCCAAATTATAACATGTACTTACAACTGCTGAGCAAAAAGTAGCATTTATGGCTGTCCAAAGGAAACTGTCCAAACTGCATGGCCCGACAAACAATAGTTATATCACTCCTGATAATATAAAGAATGTAAGCACAATTTCATAGACTATGTAGTTTAGACATCATGAAAAGAATGTAATAATAAGGAGATACAAATATTGATACAATTATACAGGGAAGTAATTTCAAAACAGGGGTTGTCGTCATCCTCTAAGTCGTTTTTTCTAATTCGTTACTGATTTGTTTTCATAAAAGTTTTTAAAATGTATGTTATTTAGAAAATGTATACACGTTACAAAGACCCTAGCAACATATTTTGCTTAACTCTATTATTTCGTTTTCGAACATTATTCATTAAAGGGACTGTAAAGGAAAAATGAATGGGGGTATAGGCTGAAAGCTAATCACTTTATCTCTTCATCGGGAACCATTAAAGTTATAACTGATGTTTCTGCCTCGAGAAATTGATAAAAAACTTTTTCAAATCAATACGAAAATTCATATGTATACAATTTTGTATAGACATAGTAGGTTTAAACAGATCATATCCACCAAATAAACAACGAATCTGAAATCCCAAAGGAAGTTAATCCTTACTTTGGTTTGCTCTAATTATAATTTTATAATTTTTGTTTTTATTTTTAATAGATACTACTGTTATAGGTCCGTATTACGTCACCAGAACTCCCACCAATGAGAGTGCAGAATAGTGGTCAGGCAGGTATGCTGCACTACCATTGGTGGGAGTTCTGGTGACGTAACACGGATTTATAAATTATATTATCAATTAAATCTATTAAAAATGAAAATATAAATTATAAAATTATGATTGGAGCAAACTAAAATAAGGATTAGCTTCCTCTGGGATATCTTCGTTTTTCAGATTTGTTTATTTGCTGAATATGATCTATTTAAACCTACTATTTCTATAATACAAAATTGTATATATATATATATGAATTTTTGTATAAATTTGACATAACTTTCATGGGTCGCGATTTAGAGCTAAAGTGATTAGCTTAAGGCCTATTATCCCTTTCATTTTTCCTTTACAGTCCCTTTAAGTATTGGTCCCATATGCCACTCACAATTCACAAATAATAAATCTAACAAACTTGACACAAAATATTTCTTAAATTTATTTTTTCTTTCACCATCTTACAATAACAGGGTATACTCCAGATAAAATATGCACAGAACCTATATTGATCTAAAAAATGTATATTATCTATATATTTTATGAATATTTTCACTTTGATGTATAGACATGAGGGAATAGTTTAATATTATAAAAAAGTATTAAATATACATGAGAGACGTACTTCAATCAGATTTTCTCCGTGGGAAGGAAAATTCTGATTTAAAAAATGATTCAGTAATCTCTTTACCAACTTAAACTGTAGTATTTGGATACAAACTAAAAAAACCAAATATTTTTCTGATCCCTATATCTTTGCAACCTGATGTAGTCACCTTTAATTATACCATGAATTTTGTTTATGATTTAATGTCTGAATTTGTGAATTTGAGTTTGTGTCAAAAAATGTGTCCCAATATGAAAGGAAAGTTAAACCATAGATAAATAAATAAACATAGATAGCTTATGTACGCTAAATCCCCAAGAATTGTACAGTTCGCGAACTCATACTTCTTGGGATCAAAGTGTACTTCAATGATAAGCGGGGTGGTTTGATGTTTTAATTTAACTATTTGAACAACAATATTTCACTGAGCATTATATGATTTTGACGAGAACTGAAGAAGGACATGAGAAGGACTAAACTAACTTAAATTTCTCTCTACAGAACTCATGTACACCACAAGTACTCAATGACATAAGATTAGCAAATGTTCACAATCGACCTAGTTAATCTATATAATAGGAATATCTTTAAAACATCTGTGTACATTTATATCTTTCAAGGTGAAAAATGTCGTCTTATGTGCAATCTATCTTTATCTATGAGTTAAACGCACAAGTGACCCTCAATAAATAGGGCGAAGTGTCCGATTACCAACAGTATCAAATATTTGTCTGATCAAGGATATACGAAATATCCTATTTTTCATAGCTCAATATTTTCAATTGTAGTCCCATTATCAATTGACTTGCGGATTTCTGCTGCAAAGATTATACAAGAAAAGTTAGAATAAGAATACAGAAAAACGAGGTATGTTTAAATGGTACGGTTGTGAATCGGTCATGAAAGATTTCTTGAAATTACGTCTACAGTCCCTAGGAAGAATAGATAATATTTCTTGGAAAATATGAATTGCGTGTGTCTGACATATTCTGATCTGCAAAGAAAATAGGATAGTTTCGTCTATTAATCTTTCTTTTATATTTTTTATTATTTAATATTCCAAGAATGCTTTCATCCAAGCCAGACAAGTGAATGTATCTTAATACTAAGAGAATTTTCCTTAGTTTATAGCATTTTAGGCTGTAGAGTTTTATATCTAGATAGATCTAATTTCTTTGTAGCTTATGCAGTATTTTTGTGAAATAAATATAATAAACAAATATGCAGTGCGCTCTCGGTATAGTTCATGGCCTATTTAATTAGTAAAGGATTCGCGTACACATCATAACCTCGTTGCAATCCATGCAAAGATGAAAATGTCCAATGTTCAACGGTACCCTTAAAAACCTTAATCTTATCAGAAATATTAAAAAGAGCGTCGTTTTTCGGACTCGAAAACTAATGAATTCTGATTATTTCTCAATTAATTCCTGAAGAAAAAAATGCGAGAAAACACAAAAGAATTAAAGGAACACGAAAATGGATATCTATGATGCTGTATCAGACAAGGCTATCAAGGGGTTAAAGGTTACCGATGTGAATCGAGCTTTGCAATTTTGCATACACGTATACTTAAATTTACGCTTACAGTCCCTTTGGGGTAGTACAGATAGTCCCTGCAGTACAATTTGTTTAAGTTTGAATTTGATATTGAAGACAGACGGTTGTCTATCTAGCTTTGTTTTTCTTGAAAAAGAAAAGTCTGAAGCTTTTAATCCAAAAGGTTGACATGAAACATCCAACAACAAGTTTTATCAAATCAAGTTGTTTAATGCCAAAGAGAATTATAAGAATATTTAATGGTAGTCATAAGTAAAATTGATTTCATAGTAAACTATATTTTAGTAAAAGATTTTATTGAACGCAAAAAATGGAAAAAGTCTTTAATATTTATTTCAGTACAGGGAAGAAGACATTCCAAATTATTTACCAACTGTCATGTTTCGTGGGACATCCTGTACATAACAATTTCGTATTTCCTGGGAAGTAACAAAAGACTACATTTCAAAAAAAAACTAAATCCCCATTATTTTAAACTAATTTTTACCTAATTTTGTAATAAACATGTTTGTTTTGATAAATCTCTAGCGCAGCAACTTCCGTTAATATTTCTGGTTTCGTGAAACTCACGAGGTCATGGATAATAACATCTGGGATCCACAGCGCCTGCGCAGAATATAATTATAAATTAATCGACTGTTTTAAGAGTAGTAGTTGACTAGTACAACTTTACAAGTCTCTGATTGGACTGGAGGTGCTCTGCACAGGACTAAAATAAAATTTTGGAACTTTTTCTCAGCAGTCATTTTACCTAAAAGAACAAAGTATGTTTATTTTATCTAGATTTTCTTAGATACAATTTTCCTTTTCAATTTGCTTAATTATATGCTTGAATATGAATAAAAAGTTTTAAATAGATAATTGTTACATAAAACCACTGCCAACCCCTTTCCCCCCCCCCCTCAAAGATGTGCCAAATGGTCAAGAAAAGTAAGGCTTTCTACCCACAGAGTGAATAAGCTCCAAGAAAAATATTGTCATAAGTTTTTTCTAAAAGGATCCTTTTTCACTTCATATGATATACACACAGAAACTTGCTCAGTATGTTTTTATTCTGATTTTGCTACTAGAAAATGTCAGGGTTTGATAACAGCATTTAAAAATGTTCATAAAGGTGCAAAACTAAGCCTCTAATAAAACACAATTATAATTGACTTTTGGATTCACACACATCTTTAAAAAACGAATTTCGATTAATTTCTATAAAAAGGTGTTTTCATTACGTCGAATCTGTATTATTTCCAGGCTAGGTTAGCTTAAGATTGATAGATAGAAAAAAATAGTATCTAACTATTTGTACATTATTTGTTTATTGAAAGAAACTAAGACAAAATAAATCTATACGTTATATCTTTTCATTTACAAACATTGTATTAAGTATTGGTTTTGTCCTTTGTTCGTTTTTAAAATACTTTTTTTAAGTTTTCATGAAAACTTTAAACATTTTAAAACTTCAACAAACCATTACGAATTATACACTTCTTTCAAAAACATTCTTAAGCGGCCGAGCCTTGACTTGAATTATTGAGGTGTATAATGTAAACTCAAATTTTCTGACCCCCCTCCCCCCAATACCCCCCTGTGCCCCCTCCCTTCAATCATGTCTAAGACCCAAATCAGTTCAGGGAAAAGTATATTGTTTCCCACCGAAGTTTTAATGGTAATCTTGTCAAACAATAAAACTTTATAAAAACTTGGTTTCTACAATTTACAGAAAATAGATTTTTTGTAATGAATATTTCCGAGACTAGGGCATACCAAAAAGCTCAATTTACTCAATCAATTAACAATTAACAATTGAAAAGTTTAAAATTAGGCGGAACTAACTGAAAACATCAATAAGCTTCGGTGCCACTGAATTGCCAGTCACGAAATTCTTCATCTGGGTGCTAGTGCAGTTGAGGCGCAATTAGCACCAGTATTAGATGGATCAGAGATGAAATATTAAAGGTAAAATATACTTTTGTGAGCTCAAGCCTTTGGGGAGACTCTAGTCTTTGACTGTGTTTGCAGATTGAAACAAATTCGACCAATGAAAGATGCTTTCAAAGCTGTGTTTGCATATAATATGCATAATCAGCTGATTGATGCAGCTTTAATCAGTGTAAATTTAGACAACTCAATTTCCATAGTTTTAATTTTGTAAATCTAGCCAATTTTAACACTGCAGATAACCAAGTCTAGTAAAACATCTGGTCTTCACTTGATCTTTACTTGAACGTAAACAGATGAAATATCTGATATTGATATTTATTGCGAGATAATCAATCGAAAGAGAAGAAAATTATTAGGTTACTAGATATGTTGTGCACATTATATTATCTGCACAACCCTGCACAGTGGGTCAAGTGGTTCCGTGGAGGAAGCGAGGCTCTAGTACTTTAAAGGGACAGTAAAGGAAAAATGAAAGGGGGTATAGGCTGAAAGCTAATCACTTTAGCTCTTGATCTCGACCCATGAAAGTCATATCTGATGTTCTTGTCTCGAGAAATTGATATAAAACTGTGTCAAATCTATACGAAAATTAATATATATACAATTTTGTATAAAAGTAGTAGGTTTAAACAGATCATATTCAGCAAATAAGCAACCAATCTGAAAACGATGATATCCCAGAGAAAGCTAATTGTAATTTAGGTTTACTTTTATATTTGTTGTTTCTATTTTCAATAGATTTCATTCATAATATTATTTATACATCCGTATTGCTTGACCAGAAATTCCACCAATGGCAGTGCAGTAAAGTGGTCACATGATACAGGCGGAGACACGTGACCAGTATACTGCTCTGCCATTGGTGATAGTTCTGGTCACGTGATTTAAGTTTCAGATTTTCAAAATTTTACATATATGAATTTTCGTATAATTTTAACACAGTTTTATATCAGTTTCTCGAGACAGGAACATCAGATAAAACTTTCATGGGTCGCGATCAAGAGCTAAAGTGATTAGCTTTCAGCCTATACCACCTTTCATTTTTCCTTTACTGTCCCTTTAAGTCTTTAAGCACATTGTGCATTTTTAAGTGGACCATGTATTGACTTAGACGCCTGGAATTTGTCAACCCTGCATCCTCTCTACCTGATACGGTAGTATTAATAACTAGGCAATTGTGAACATGGTCTTTTTGTTTACATTTTAAAACAAAGAAGAAGAAAATTTTGCGGATTTTCAAAAAAGAATTCGCGGATTTTCAAGAATTTAAATTTTTAACAAAATTAAAAACCTTTAAAACACATTTCTTTACATTTGTATCATTCATAAACCTTCCCTGTGGTCACATGATGTCCCAAAAAAATTTGGGCCCGATCGGTTCGCCCATTTTGTCGTTTATTGGATACAAACAGACAGACAAGCCAAATTTATATATAGATTTCTCCTGTAGGATAATTCCTGTTTTTAAATAGGGATGGGTATGTTCCATATTTTTTAAGTCGTTTCTTTAAGGGTTAATTCATACCGTTAAACCGAAAATTTTCCGTTTTTTAATAAAAACGGCGAATTCATTTTGTTACCGAACTAGAAATTAACCGTTTTGCCGTGCTTTACCATACTATTTTGCTAATTTTCGAAAACCTCCGTTTTGCAAACTGAGGTTGGTCCAGCTCTGTCTCAAAAATAAATTTGGAACTAAATATAAAACGTTTCTAAACTTTTAATTCTGGTCTGTATTCGTGTCTTCTTAATAAAAGAGAAAAAAAATATAAATTTTTTTGTTTTATTTCATATATGACAATTTAAAAAAAACAGGAAAATAAAATATGTTTTATTGCCCCTTGGCCCTTACACTCCTGTATACCGAGTCCATTAGCGCCTGATCCAATCAGGGTTCAGTCATGTGTTTGGTGTCTATTCTGAACCAATGAAATAGTATGGCAGTAACATCTATCTTTCTATCTATCTCATCATCCAATTAGAGTTATGAATCCTTCAATCGGTGCTATCATTAAATGGAAATATTTACCTACACTGAAACTATAGTGCTTACACTCATTGATAAAGCTATTGAGTTTTGTTTCCCCCTTTTTGGTTCACTAAATTAAAAAATGTGTATTTAATTATCAGTTTTGGCCCCTGAACCTGCATGTTAGAACCTAGAGAATTAGGTCGACAAGTATAAAGAGAAAAAAATTAAAATAAACTATTTTTTTATTTTTCCCTGCTTTTTATGCTATGGTTAGGTGAACAAATGCAAATAACTACTTCTTTATACAATGGTTAGGTTGAAAAGGGGAAAAGTATGGTAAGGAGGACAAGTGCAAATCTACTGCTATATTCTATAGTAAGGTGGACAAGTGCAAATCTACTTCTTTATGGTTTAGTGGACAAGTGTGAATCTACTTCTTTATGTTATAGTTAGGTAGACAATTGCTAATCTACTTCTTTATGCTATGGTTCGGTGGAAAAGTGCTAATCTATTTATTTAAGCTATATTTTGGTTGGCAAGTGTAAATCTACTTCTTTAAGCTATGGTTAGGCGGACAAGTGCAAATCTACTTCTTTAATCAATAGTTGGGTGGACATTGGACAATTGCTAATTGTATACTTTTTTACGCTATGGTTAGATAGTCAAGTGCAAATCTACTTCTTTACGCTATGGTTAGATAGTCAAGTGCAAATCTGCTTCTTTATGCTATGGTTAGGCGGACAAATGCAAATCTACTTCTTTAAGCAATAGTTGGGTGGACATTGGACAATTGCGAATTGTATACTTTTTTACGCTATGGTTAGATAGTCAAGTGCAAATCTACTTTTTTATGCTATGGTTAGATAGTCAAGTGCAAATCTACTTCTTTATGCTATGGTTAGGCGGACAAATGCAAATCTGCTTCTTTAAACAATAGTTGGGTGGACATAGGACTTTTGCAAATTGTATACTTCTTTAAACTATGGTTAGATTGTCAAGTGCAAATCTACTTCTTTATGCTATGATTAGGTGACAAATGCAAATCAACTTCTTTAAGCAATATATGGGAGGACATTGGACAATTGCGAATTGTATACTTCTTTACGCTATGGCTAGATGAACAAGTGCGAATCTACTCCTTTAAGCTATGGTTAGGTAGACAAGTGCGAATCTGCTTCTTTATGCAATGGTCATGTGGAAAAGTGCGAATCTACTTTATTAAGCTATGGTTAGATGAAAAAGTTTGAATATTCAGTTTTTGTTCTTCTTTGTTTCTGCATATTAAAGGATGGCTGTGGGATGAGATAATGTTCTCTGAAGGATAAGTATGTTTAATGAGGACTTGAGTGTTTTCCTGGTGGTTCCTGATCTATACAATATACTAGGTAGAAATATTCTTTTCCATTTTAAAGCCTTCTGATTCACAACGGTACTCTTTTTATCCTTTTATCGAATTAGCAGTATGCTATAGACTTTCCTTTCCAATCTGTTAAAGAGAACTGCAAACAAAAACCTTTGGAAAGGTAAAATGTGGATAGGTTATTCACTTTATAACTGAAAGGTCACTTGGAAGTTGGAATTACGTCTAAACTCCGCTAAAATCTCCAGGTTGCTAATTAATTCAGTATTTTGTTATGAAATGTTTTCTTGATAAAAGATCTGATTGTAAATTTGAATTTTTTACTTTGAAATTTATTAC